CCCCAAAACCCCAAAACCCCAAAACCCCAAAACCCCAAGAAGGATATTAGTTATTGAAATATATAATCTTTATTAAGTGTCTCCTTCAGATATTTATTAAACTCCAGTGATAGTTCAGATATAATGTCGATCTCGAGAGAGCTGTCAAACAATAAGACTAGCTGTTTGCTATTCTCTTTAATAACATATAGAGTATAAGCCTCGGAGATGATATAGCTTTCTTGGGTGTATGATTCAAATTCTTTCTGCTCTTCATCAACTGGTTCAACAATGGGAAGCTTTAAATAAAGCCTAATCAAATCTCTCATAGCTTCAGATTCCTGGAGCTTATTTTCTTTTCAATGACTTTAAGTCTTCCTTCTTTGAGCTCTTTTGAGATTCCTTGAGACTTGAAGTTCTATCTCCAAAAATCTCCCTTCCTTCGGTTAATTCTTGAGAGATGCGTGAATATCTACTTTTCCTATTTTCTACTCTTGGCGTTGGATTTTCATGACCACTCTTGAGAAGAAGTTCAGATCTGGTAAATGTTCTGACGATGCTTTCTGATGTATCAAGCCACATCCAGCTTAAGATGTGCTCGGGAACTTCATAATAAACAGCTCAATCTTGAATAGATTTGGATGGACCTTCTTTTGAGAGACCCATCCATGCTTCTTCTTCACATGCTTTAAGAACTGACTCTTTAAGTTCTTCAGAGTTCACTGAAGGTCCTGAGAGACAGGTTAGTGTGAAAAGTGGAGAGATATGAATGATGATGCATCTATAGGCATCTATACCAACATTCTCAGGCTCGTCTACCAAGGAAGTATGTGTTAGAAATATTGGAAAATCATATAATTGCTCTTTATTTCTAAGTTTCTTGTAGAGAAACAATAATCATTGATCTACTGGATGGATCTCACTCCAACCAGAGCTACAGCAGTATAGTTTGTCTTCTAGCCAAAGTGCGGAATGTTCTACTTGGAAATTTTCAGTAAATTTCTGAAGAATATGCATATTCGTCAATCGATTTGTATGGCAAGTTACATTAATAGTATTGAACAAGATCAGTGGAGATTCAGGTTGAGAGAGTACATAATCTACTATGTCATTCAATGCTCTTAGCTTTCTCTTAAGACCGTCAATTCCACCTGTAGCTCCTTCCTCAATTGCTGAAATTTAAAAATGTGAAATTACCTTTAGCGCCGATCTGAATTATGATTAAGTTCCTGAGAATATATAGCAATTGAGAGACAGAGTCTATTCATTGCTCAGAAGACTCTGCTGAAGTGTTCCCAAAGATAGAGATATTCAGTTTGCTGTCATCTACTTCAATAATTGTGTGTGAGATATACCCATTCTCAGTCTTAATAGATATGGGCATAGAAGAGTTTTCAATATTAGTCATTAGAAAAGCTTGGAGAATACCCAGATTGTTCTGATCAATAGGATTCATATTAATCGATCTTTTATACAAGCATGCACCCGTATCAGTAGAGATGATAAGTCCTGTTGCCGACTCTGTTAAGGCCATTTTTATAAATCTTTCTATATTTTAAAATATAAACGGGGTTTTGGGGTTTTGGGGTTTTGGGGTTTTGGGG